TATTCTTAGTTTCCAAATGGAAATACAACAAGCAACATGTCAAGACCCACATGTTTCTCAAAGGCAAGAAATGCTGTAGCTGTTAAGCAAAATGCAGCCATGATACTGAGACATTATTGTTATTGTTTATAAAAGTATTTTGTTCGTGTTCCAGCTCAGGCGTAACGGGAGCAGAGTCTTTTAACTGCATCTTGGCTTTTTCAGCAAAGAGGAAGTGCAAACAGGAAATAAGTTTGAGACGACAGTCACCACAAACTGTTAGTTATTCTTCAGTTGAATGCTGTGACACCAGTATAGTGAAGTAAACATACAATCATTTAACAGTTATGGCTTTTGAGAGCCCCGTAATGCAGGTACTGCTGAGAAGTGGCTGCAAATACAAAGTGATTGATGGATGAGATGGTTTGTTGTGATGTGACAGGAAATCTCTGGCTGTGACAAGAAGTAGAAGTGACACTCAGCTCGTGAAAAAATAGAATATGTTTTATCGACTGTGTACATGGATACACAAACATCCTCTTTTCTGTCACCCTATGTGAGTTTTATGTATCAGCACAAAATGACAATAAAACAAATCTTATTTTGGTTCATTTTTAAAACTTGCCTAGTAAAGACTTGCTTGACATACATTTTTTAATTTGTTTGTACATTTAATTGATTGGATTTCGGTGGTAAAGCACACCCATGGGTAATTTGTCATGTCTCGCACAAACATTCACTGAAGAATTTGAAGGTGAAGGTCGCTGTGACTGTATCTTAAGAGCGCCTTGAGAGAATTCATTCAAATTCGCTACAAATGTTCGCTTAGACTCACGGATTAGCTGATCAGATTTGGAGGGTGAAAGGTCAAGGTGGCCTCACAAAACTTGTTTTTGGTCTCTTGAACATGAAATCTCAAGATTGCCTTTCGGTCATTTCTTCCAACTTTGATCAATTTTCCCTTGGACGCAAATTCTTACTGACAAAATGTCTTAATGACCTTAATGAGTCTGGAAATAGACTAAGTTTGCACAGGTTTGCACTGGTTGGTGCAGGAAGACAATCACAGGGTGGCATTTCTAGTTTATGTTTGTCGCTCATACTCAGGAGCTGCTACACAGTATTCTACCGTCAGCCTCTAAAAAGCTTCACAGGAGCAGTTTGGTGAAAGCTGTCCTGCTGAAGGTCACCTTGACAGTGGTTGTTGAGGGAGTTGGAGAGAACATTATCTCTCACTCTGCCTGTCATGTTCTCAGCCAGTCTGCAGATTCAGTGACTTTCTGCTGACAAGCGTGCTTTGCTATAAGCTCGCCACTCAGAGAGTAAAAAATCCACAATCAAATCCTGCCAAGGACCCCCACATACAGCTGCTGCAGGGCATGAGAACTCACGGTCACGATGTGATGTGCAGACTCATCACACCCTAACATCTGTATCATATCCTATGACCTCTGTTACAGTGCTGTGCAGACCCAAAGCAGCGTCCGTCCATCCTGACGGATAAGGCGATGGAGCCGGCCATTAAGTACATCAACAAGAAATTCCCCAACATTGACTTCAGAGGAAACATTGTGAGTATGACGCAGTTTATGCAACATTTTCTTTCTTACAAAAAAATTTGATTGTGTCAGCATTGTGTATAATTGTATGTTTATGTCTTAAAATGTATTTGCATTGGGCTGTGCGGTTTAATCAAGTATTAGTTGGAACCTGTAAAGCCACTGACAGGACTACTTTAACAGACTGTTTACATTTCACGAATTGTTCAATCGTTGTTTATTGCAGCAAAACCTGACCAACATCCAGCGACAGAAATCTGATGTGATGAAAGCCACATCCAGCTACTATGACTCTTTCCTGGACGTCATAGAGTTCAGGGTGATTCTTTCATTCATTCATTCATACATTCAATACATAAGCTCCTCCAATATGTTGCTAAAGGCCACTGCCCATCACTGCAATGATAAACAATCAAAATAAAATAATAAAAAAAACCAATACATCATTTATAAATATAGGACAATGGCGGTGGCTCTTTTGTTTCTTATGCACATTCATTTTTTAAAGATATTTTTCATTCCCAGAATACATTTACATATAGAGTGGTTTATTCTGATTCGGGAAAAACATTTTTTATTCCAAATAACTGTTTGTTACACCTCCCTGCACATTTGCATGTTTCTGTGATGGGGGTCACAGCCAGGGCCAAGGCATCCTGGGTATATGGAGGAGTGAGAACACGTTAATCATGATGTTATGGGGATGTGCAGATGTGCAGTGATTATTAGGCTATAAAAATGATAATGTGTAGAGGAAATTGCATTTGAGGCTCAACGTGGTTGAAAAGCTGCTTTGTTCCTGTTTTCTAAAGTTTTCTAATCTGAATCTTCTCATTCAGGATCATGTTTATGAGTTGCTGAACACCATAGACGCCTGTCAGTGCTTCTTTGATATTGTGAGTATTTACTGTGTGGCTCGTAATTGAAAGTGTTGAAGTCTGACACAACATCTGCTGATGATTTGACAAACACTGTCAATACTGTGGTGTTTACTCCTACAGTACATGCTACATACGGGGGAGGATGTTACTCTTCTCCGCCCCAACATCCTCCTGTTCAGTTTGTCAGGTTTTTTTTATTATCATAATTAATCTGGCACCTTCACCCTTTTGCATTATGTATATCCTTCTGTTTATTTCCGTGAGCACTGTCTCCTGAGATCTGATCCGCACGCTCAACGTGGGCATATTATGCATCTCACGTATTTGGATTTATTTGGAGAGCATCTCTCAAGACCTTTCATGCCAAATATAACTGCAGATATTTTGTTCTACTGTATGCACAGTATTTACTTTTAGGGGTTTAGTAGACTACACTGAATTTTCTGATTTCAGACGACCAACTTTGACTTCACCAAGAACTACCTGGATCTGATCGTCACCTACACGTCAGTTATCATAATGCTCTCTCGAATCGATGACAAGAAGGCTCTGGTGGGGATGTTCAACTGTGCCCATGAGATGACCAACGGCTGCGGGTAAGATGAAACTGCTCATGAATACAGACACATAAGACATGACGCTATGGACGGATGTGTTTACCCTCATTGCTCAAGGTAGCATTTGGTCAACAAAGACCTCGTATGATAAATAATAAATGGCAATACAGGTTCCCACCGACATCAGAGAGTATTATTCTTCTGATCCTGACAATAATTTACATTTTTAGTTGCCACAAACATCAACAGTCATCCACTAACCCACTGCCAGGTTGCATTCTGATATTTTGAGTCTGCCCGCTTTGCATGATATTTATTATTTATACATTCCAAAAACAGCAGGTTGACAAGAGCAAGAAACACAAACATACATTTTAATGTAACATTTGACTTGCACACCACACACAGCTGGTCCCTGGGGAAGGAGCCGCTGCAGGTTATCAGCCACCAAAAAACATCAGTACATGCTTAGAACATCAGTAAAAATCCCGACAGGTTAAGTTACACTTACACTAATGGTGTCAGTCGTACTTCTCCCCTCCCTCTCCCCACGCTGATCAATTATCTGCTGTAATGAATCCTACAGTGACTCGTCCTACCCGCGACTCGGACAGATGTTTCTGGAGTATGAGCATCCCTGGAAGAAGATCACAGAGGAGTTTTGCCCTCACACAAGGGTGAGTATCATACAGTCCGTTAGTTCACACACAGTGCAGACACTTAGATTGAATGGGTTCTACCTTCAACCTTGCTGCGTTCTCCACCAAGTGTCATGGTAATCCACTAGTTTTTGTATTTGCTAACTTACAGACAGACAAAACCTAATCTCCTCTTATTTACTTATTGTACAATAGCATTTAGGTCTGTGTGGTGAATCATAAATTAGGTTTATGTACAAACAATCTAACTACAGATTTTGAGCCTACAGTTTGCTTTTTTTTTGTTGAACTCCAGGTTTGAGGTGTTGCTGCCTCTTTCTGTTTCCAGCTTCCTCAATCACCGTCCTTCTTTCTGTCTCCTAGTCTGTGACGGCAGCGCTTCTATCTCTGAAGAACGTCTACCCACGCAGGAACCTGCCAGCAGAGCAGTGGCGGAGTGCCCAGCTCCTCAGCCTGCTCAGCGCTCCCGCTACCATGTTGGAATCAGCTTGTTGTGACACAGTGAGTCCTGCCTCCTCATTTCCTGTGTTTATCTCTGACAGAGGCAGACAGAAAAAAGAAAGGGGTCGTGTTGAAAATGCGTTTTTTTCCTGTGATGTCAGGTGCAGAGATGAGAGACAGCGTCACAGTCAAAAGATGCAACAGTATTTCTATTGTCTTTAAGGTCTCATTCTCAATATTAACCTTGTGCCGTTTTCCCATGTCGTTCATTTATAGGGCTATAATTTAGAAAATTATTTGTTGTATTGTCTCTTGACCTTTCTTGCTTCTCCCATTTCTGCACCACCCAGTTCTCTGTCAGCCTCACACACTATTATGATCATTATGATGTCATGTTATGATCCCTGTTGTCTGTGGTTCCCTCATGAAAGACCCACTGGAAATAAAAATAAGGGGAAAGACACTGTTTCTTTTAATAGTCATAGAGAACACTAGTATATTTGATATTGGGATACATTTGGCATCTTTAACACATTTCAGGAAGATAGATACTAAATATATCAAGAGTGGAATCTATGAAATCTGTTGATTTCCAATTGAAGGTGAAAAAACAATTGAGTATCCATTCAGAAAGACTTGATGGCACAAGAGATTTTACTCAACTACAAAGTTAATGCATGTAATGCTATTGTAAATGATAAGCTTGCTGTCCACTACAGATAGCGTGTGAATACTTGTCCATGGAGACGATGGAGCGATGGCTCATCAGTAAGTATTACTCAACCTCACAATTACTTCTTCAATTATTACTCTTTATCAAACGATAATTACAGATTTAGGTGGAAATACTACAACCATGGTGCTTTTTATCATATAAAAGGCACAATGGGTGAATGATAATATGTTTCAAAACTTCGTTGGAGTGGGACTTAAATATGTGCACATGTCATCAGTTACACAAACTTCCTTTGGATACCAGTTACTGTCTCACTTTTTGTTGTGGTCATTTATACACATCTACTCGAAAAATCTGACATCAAATAAAAACTGAACAAACAGCTGCTAATCAACAAATTTTCAAGCTATCATATCTCATGTTACTGTAACTTTAGCTTGTTAATAGTTCGGAAGCTTAATGCTTTAACCACTGATCGCAGTAGAAACAATCCTTCAGGTCATGTATCCTTCTCGCAGTCGGCTTCCTGTTGTGCCACAGCAGCCTGAATAGCAACCAGGGCTCCCAGGAGCTGTGGAAGATGGCTCTGCGGAGCGGCCTCTACCTCACCCTCACCAGGGATGAAGTCCTCAACATACACAAAGTCTCAGAGGACCTGTTCGACAGCATCAAGGGGTACGGAGGCTGCACTGCTCCACTGTGTTCTCTCTCTTCACTTTGGGCTCTGAAAAATAGACAGAGCTGGTTAATTAGACTTCAGAGAGAGCGATGATAGGTAATAAAGTCTTTATTGCACGCAGTGTTTCAGACGCTTAAATACGAATAATGGATTTTGAATTGTGACATGAGTGAAGAGTCTGAACTGTTGATGGTCTTTCCTCTGGTCTCTTCAGTTGTGTGTTAGGTAGCTAAGGTAAGTATTGAGTAAAATATTACCTCGGTTTTCAGTTTTGTGCAGTCTGTTTGTTTGTAAGCAAGATTACGCTAAAACCATGGGGGAACGTGCCACAAAATTTGATGAACAGATGCGTTATGGATTAGGAAAATACTTTTTGTCACTTTCTTAAACAGTGCTTGATATGCACATAAAGCTGTTTAAAATGAATATGGTCATAAAAAGCTCTTAAATGAATCTATTTTAAAAATACCAAGAAGCAAGAGAGTGATAGCATAATTTGGAGAAGAAGCAGCTCAGATGACAGACTGATTGATTGCCTGAAAGTCAGAAAGAAAAAGTGACGATACTGTGAATTATTAATCATTGATCATAGCACAACACTGACTGATCAGACAGTGTTGGACTTATTCATATTTATTGTTTTAAGTGTTTCAGAAGATAAAAAACACATTATTTCTATTGCTATTCCTACGCATAATTTTGACATGTCTAGTCAAATATTATAAATATTGAAAAAGTAGAACCATAGTAATTAGTGTATCTGAAACTGCTTTAACTTTTTAAATTATAACTGCCTGTTTAACTTGTTTTTTTCAGGTATAACAAGCGAGTCGCAGACATCAAGGAATGCCGTGAGCATGTTTTGGTTCACTGGTCAGTCTGGCAGGAAACTAGGAAACTTTGTTTCATCACTTTTATCAAGTCATAAATATTAATTTATCTGTATTTACTTTGAAATGTGCTGTGAGACCCAAGTGTCCTTGTCCACTTCCTGTGTCATCTACAGCGGGGCTATGCACAGAGAGAGGAGGCAGTTTCTGAGAGGAGCGATAAAGGAATTATTCAACGTGCTGGAGGATGAACCTGGACTTCTGGGACCAAAGGTAGAATTACAGTAACGAGCATAGCAGTGGCACTTGGAATTTAAATCATTTCATTACTGCAAGTTATAACTCCAGAATGAAAATCTGGGCACATGACTTGTGAAAAAGTCCTTGATCCAGCTCCAAACCTTGTTCCTATCAAATCCCCCAAGGCCCTGTTTGTCTTCATGGCTCTGTCATTTTCCCGTGACGAGGTCCTGTGGCTCGTCAGACACTCTGAGAATATGCCAAAGCTGAAGACGCCTGAGGACTACATCGACAAGTAGGTCATAGGTACACAGGAAGTACACCATAGACTGATGTAGCTGAATGACATGGTGTCATGGTCGAGCAGAATAATCTAACCATCAGCCACTCAGCAAAGAGTGGAGCTAATGTTGGTTAATGTGTGGAGTTTGCATATATTGCATGTTGCATGCTTGCTCTCCTTGTGTCAGATTGTGGTCAGGTTAATTGGAGACTCCTAACGGACTGTAGGTGTGAATGGATGGATGGTGCAGTCTCAATCCTGACCCCAAAAAATAACAGTAAAAAAATAACAAGTTTTCCTTCGCTGCATTCCACTCTTGAAAAATCCCCAGTGTAGCAGCTGTGTATATTAGGTTTTAGCAATGTAATTATCCTAAACTGTGCCGAAGAGCTTTTGCAACGGAAGATATGTGCAAATATTTGGTGTTAATTAGCTTTTTTCCATTATCCCAGTCAGATGGCGGAGCTGCTGTTCTACATGGAGAAGCTGAATGGTCTCATGAGAAACTACAATCAAGTAATACAACGCTTCCACGTTCAGTACCTGGCAAGGTTTGATGCCCTGGTACTCAATGACACCATACAGGTATACTGACACTGTACTGTGCATTTCTTATTCCATTATTGTAGAAACAGATGTTGCCGAAGTGGAAATAAACAACAACATATATCAAACTTTGTGTCTCTCTCCATAATAGAACATGTATGTGTGTCCAGAGGAGGAATCAGTCCTGATGAGCTCATTTGTCTCAACACTGTCTGCTCTCTCAGTCACACAAGGTTACCACAGCAACATAAAGCAAATAAATAAATAAATGAATGCTTATAATGATGAATGAAATTTTGCTCTGCAGTGGACAACAAAGAGGAGTTCGATTTCAGAGGGCTTAGACTGGACTGGCTGAGATTACAGGTACACAGGTTTATTGTTCAAGTGTAAAATAATATATGACGACTCATGATGAAGACATCAACATAAAGTTTTCTTGTTGTGTTGTAGGCCTACACAAGTGTGAACAAGGCCCCACTCTTGTTAAAGGACTACCCCGACTTAGCGAGGGTGATGAACGTGATCCAGTTTCACACCAAGATGATGGACAATGTGGAGGAGCTGCTGCAGGAGACGTCCGAGTTGTCCATATTCTGGTCAGTGTCTTCTATTCTTGTCTCTTCTCTTCTTGTCTCCTCTTCTCTTCGAAGGAATAGTTCAGCCATTTTTGGGAGATGCGATGCAAGCAGGCCAAAGCAACTAGCATGGTGCCATCCAACAACAAACTCATTCTGGTTCTTAAAGCTATATAAAGGTGTGATTGTTTGTTTTGACTTATGTTTCAGTTAAAAACAACAGATTTATAGAATTCATGGAAGACTAACGACATCAGTAAATACCATAAACTATCTATAAAGATGGACAGTGTGTCTCCACTTCCTCCCGCTATCCAGAAATTAAACTTAAAAATCACAGATCTAGATGCTGCCATCTTGTGCATTTGGAGACACAGTCTGTGCAGTAGGGTTTGGGGGGTGGAGCCACAGTGGTGAGGGCCCGTTGGTGCTTGACCAATCACGAGTCAGTCTCAGCTGTCAATCATGATGTTTCACCCTGTTTTTATGGCATCAAAATATTCATTCTCTTCATCTCTCTCCTCTTGAACTGTTGTGTTTCTTTTTTCGTCTCCCAGCTTCTACCCACGTGTCTTTGAGAAGATGTTCAACCAGAGCATGGAGGAGGTGTCCATGAAGCGCCACCTCATGTCCTTCCCTCTGGTCTGTTCCCACTTCAGCCATTGTGGACACTCCCTCTGTCCAGAAGAGGTCAGTGTTCTGTCATCTGCAGCAAAGCTCTTGCATCATCAGTTGAGTGTCAGTGAGAGTCTGAGCTGAAGTTTGATTTTTTAGCACTTTCAATACTTTTCCAACACCCACAGTACATGACAGAATCTATATCCCCTCTTTGTTGTAGTCTGATCAAATGTAATATCTCCTTATCTCAGTTACTGTAAGGATGTCACATTTAAATTGGGATTTTTTGCTTTATACATTGTCAGTGCAGTGTATATCCGCTTGTCTCTATATTTCTTTACTGTTTTTTGTATGCCAACGTTGACCCCCACACTCACACGCAGTTATTTGTCTGTGTTTCCAGATAGAGGAAATGGAGAAGAGGAGTCTGCGCCTGACTGTGACCTTCCTGGAGCAGATAGCCAAGCAGACCGGCAGTGTGGTGATAGAGATATGTGCCGAGCAGTGCAAGCTCAACGACCAGGTAGAGTCTTTTACGGGTTTAAAGAAACCAATTATGTGGCGGAGATTGATTCTGTCAAACTCCATATCCAAACATAATCGCTCTCCGGTCACAGCTTGGCACGCGGATTTAGCTGGAGGCGGCGAATTTGAATATAACCATAAGACGAGGCTAAACTCTGCAGTTGATTAAGGCTGTGTTGCTTTTCTAATCCCCTGAGGAGAATATTACCAAAGTGTTTACATTCTGAAAGAGTTCTTGTGACGTGAACACAGAACTCCCACGTTTCTCTTTCAGCATCTAATTTTTGCTTACCTGCATTTTTTTCTCCATCTCCTTCTCTCCCTCTCTGCATCTATCTCTTTCCACTTGATAACGCCTCAGCTGCTGCCCTGGCACTGTGCCGAGACCATCAGCGCCGCTCGCCACAGAAAGCAGAAGAAGATGGTGCCAAAGAAAGGAGAGGTCCAGAAGGAGAAACCGGGCGCCGAAAGCCTGAGGAAAGACCGGACCGTCGCCACCAAGTCAGCTCTGCTCATATTTCCCTCATTATCTCCAATCTCTTCCTCTTCTTATCTCACCCAGGCTGCAATCATTTTGTGTACTGGCAGAAGAATTAGTAATTAATCTATCCCTAATTTCTGGAAACATGCAGTATTATCAGCATCATTATCTGCAGTTTAATAAAAGCTGTGTTGGATTCTGGTTCTGTGAAGGTTAGGGTTGATGCAGTCCATGTCTGCAGAGGATTTTCGAGTAATTTTCTTCCCCCATGATACATTTATTACTTTAAATTATCGGGATGAAGATGTTCTCCCCTGCAGGGAAGAGATGGTTGTGAACTTTATTACCCTTCAGTGTTGACAGGTGGTGAAACAAGCCATTAAAAATAAGTAACAAAACACCTCAGACATTTGGAGCAACAGTTTTACTGGCAGCACATTTTATTTCGAGACATTGTTTCAGTAATATTCTGTATTTAGCTGCAGTCAGAAAGCTCCTTAATTAAATCTGGAGAGTTTTACACTTGTCCAAAATGTTTATTCCCTTATTTGTCTGAAAACAACATATCCACATTATAGTCATTGTCAAAATATTTGTCCTAAGGATGCATCCTCCCTCCTCTCTCTCTCTCTCTCTCTCTCTCTCTCTCTCTCTCTCTCTATCCTCCAGTTTTGACAGGATGCATCTGACGCTGACAGAGCTGTGCTCCTCCTACAGCTTCTGCAGGGATTTTATTGTCTTCGACCACATCGTCGTCCCCGCGGAGTTCCTCCTCTCTCATCTGGAGACGTATCTCTCTGAGTATGCTGAGTGGGGATAGAGGGAGTATTATATTTGTTTGAATGAATATAGATTATATAATGAAACATAATGGTGCATAAAAGGTCCCAGAGGGTAAATGAAAAACTTTTACCTCCACCAAGGCTGAACAATCCTTTGATTGGTAGAAATATAAACAAGACAGTTCTAGATCTGCCCCTTGATCCCCATCTGCACTAACATGTACTGGTTTCTTCCCAGGCCCAGGTGCCATTCCTCAGGTGGAAAAATAACCTACTTGGTGGAGGTGATTACTGTCAAAAATAATAATTCTCATGCTCAATCATAGATTATAAACTACAATATGCTCTGAGTAGAACACATACCTCAGCGAATTCCCAACACCCTGTGAATTTGAACAACCTGCAGTAAATTGCACAAACTAAACGTGCCTTATTTTACCTCAACATCCCTTTATTATCCTCTTGGAAATCAGTGGTAGTGTCGAAAACTGCCTCACAATGTTGATGAGAGTAAAAAAAAAGCTCCTAGATCCGCCCTCTCATCCAGACTCAAACCAAAGTTTACTTGGCTCTTCTCTGACTCTTACCACACCCTTCCACCAAGTTACATGGCAATCAGTCCAGTAATATTTGTGTAAACATGTTAATTAGCAGATGAAAACTCAACCTCATTGGTGGAGGTTGTAAAGATGGACGACATAACTGCTCCCCAAAAGTGAAGCCAATGCGTCTTGATCGCCCCCTGGTGGCTGGCTGCAGCATAGGTCATAACCCTTGACTCCTCCATGGGACATGGACCAAACTAAAAAGTCATAGATAGCATCAGATTTTCTTCAAACATGTCATTTCTGTCATTGTAGGAATGATGTTGGATTGATTTTTCAGAAACGTTTGGTTTGAGTTGGTTATTTGATTCTGTGAACATATTCATCTTCATACTGAAATACTCCCATGCATGCTGTCCAGTAGCTTGACCTCCAAGCATTTAAAGTCATATACATCACAAGATGGATTCTCCCTAAATCATCACCCATTGAAAGATCTGCCTTCAGTTTATTTTTCAGCCCCCTGAGTCAGAGAATAATGTGGAGCTTGCCTCGTGTTAAATGTCTCTTCCATCACTATAATGATTCCTTCTTCACGAACTGATTCTTCCGTGTCAGGCCGTGTTGCCCCCACTTAAAAAACCCCTAAGAGGAGATCCGTCATGTCCCTCCCTTGCTCTGTGACATTTCATTGTTAACTGTTATTTAGATTAGAGCTTGGTACCGGGGCAACCTAATGTTTCTGTGTAAATGCTCTGCTTAGTCTCCCTGTCTTAGCTGATGATTATCTCCCCTGTCACCCTAAAATTAGCACCCTCGAGTAGCAGCATGCTCGCAGTGATTGACCCTTCCATAGCCAAAATTGTAAATACAGTCTAGTCAGGAAGAGAGGGACCCGAACACAAAAAATAAATACAAGTGCAGCGATGCCTTGGAGCAGTGAATGTGTTGACCTAATGAGAGTGGTGCCATGTCGCCACAGCTCGTTTAACCCGTCCCATCTGTCCAACACTGATCCCACTCTGGCCCGACGATAAGTGACGTTGGTGGAACATGTTTCCGCAGGATCATCGTGAGAATGGCCAATTACAACCAGACCACCCAGGAGATAGCCCGGCCCTCAGACCTGCTGGCAGGAATCAGAGCCTACACAGCCACCCTGCACAGCGTCTCCAGCTACGTCAACATGGACATCACCCGGCTGGTGAAGAGCGTCCTGCTGCAACAAACACAGCCGCTGGACTCACGTGGACGGCAGACCATCACAACCCTCTACACAAACTGGTGTGTGTGTGATACATAGGCCTAGTGTATCCACTTGTATGCTGTTCAAGTGTCCGTTTAAAACACAAGTATCCAAATATATAATAACACCTGCATCATAAGATTTACTTTTGGGTACTTTTCACTTTTACACTAAATATATCAGCAAATATCTGTACTCTGTTCTCTGCTGCATTTTTACAATGAAGTGAGTTTCATGTTCACATGGTTCACAGTATATGTTTAGAAATAATCAATAACAAAAGGGGAAAAGGTCGGTTGATCCAATCAGAGCTTGAAGGTAACATTAGACCCCGCCTCCTTTAACCAGAGCAGAGCTGACAATGACGATGCAACGTTTTTGTTTCCTTTGCATCTTCTTCAGCTTTTTAATATGACATATTATATAGAATATATATATATACAGCCACAGTTAATGATATAGAATACCGTTACTCTACTCTTATTTAATTGTAATACTTTGAGTATATTTGAAAGGAAATCATTACTTACTTTTACTCAAGTAGAAAAGATGAAGTTACGTGTAATTACATTTACTTAAGCTTAAGTTAATTTAAAGGTTTGATTCACCACTGTGAATTCATCCCCCTGTGTGTTCTTTGTCTCTCTCTTTCACACACTGTAATTTACTTGTTTCGGCTGAGGATTTTTGTTTTTCTGCATCTCAGGTTCCTGCAGAGTCTCTTGCGTCAGGCCAGCAGCTCCCTCATCGTCCACTGTCCTGCGATGCAATGCTTCATCAACCAGCCGACTGACAATGAAGCAAGTTTCAGAGCAGAGGAGTTCTCAGATATATCAGGTCGGCCCCAGATCTCAGTATTTCTCTCTGCTGCATACTGAATGTTAATATGTTAATATCAATGCTCATGAATCGATTATTTACAGGTGCAACTTTTTTCACTTTGCTCCTCTTCTCACAACGAGCACATGTTTGGAGATAAAAGTGTTTACACTGTAAAGAATATAGTTAAAATACTGTTTAGAGTCTGGCAGCAAAAACTTTAACACTTCACTCACATTACTGTTATAAAATCTTTAGTTATTCTACACAGAAATGAGTTTTTTTTAAATACAAAGCAATATAAATTACTGTAATTTAACATTGAAGACAATCAAGCAATTGAATAATCTAAAAAACCTTTAATTTCCCATTATATTGATTGATGCATTAAAACTTTTATTTTATGGTAAATATTTTTAATAAAAGTGATTTATTATTTTATGGAACTTACACTTATTTTTGAGAAAGTAAGAAAGTGATATAATACAGTAAATTACTGTAAAGGAAATCTAGTTTTTCACTGACTGGTCAGTGTCACAGCAACAACAACATAGGTGGGCATTTAAACATTTATGCTTTTGTAGTTACTGTAAATAATGAAAACCAGTCTGACAACAATTTGCGTGGCTTCAATTTAATCATTTATTTTCTCTTTGAACAATAGAATGACAAGTATAAGAAAGGATCAGTGAGAAACAAACCTTTTCCTTTATTTTTACTTTTTGGAGACGTTTGTTTTTGCACTTGACATCTTCAGAAAGTTCCCCTGCACTCTGAGGTTTCATGTCCAGGGGCCTCACAGATCCAAGAGATGACTCAATCATTTCAAAAGACACAACTTTGCTGATCTCGTTCACTCCTGTGTCACCACATGCAGAGCGAGAATAATTGCTCAACAGCTTGTTATTGCCCTGGTGTGTGGTGTTTTCTTTCACGCTGCATGTCATGTAGTTTATCCTGTCACTGCCTGACTAATGTTAACTTTAAATATTCCTAGTCCGTCTCCTCCACCACAGCCTCGTCTTCCACCTCCGTGTCAGCCTGCAGGAGCACTGCACCTCCTCGTGACTGTGTTAAAGCTGTTTTCACTCCACTGCACACCTCAGCTCACATGCACACAAGTAAACACGGATATAATTCACACCTATGCTCAGAGATGCATTCACGAGGCTCACATAGACCTGCTACCTTGGAGACTGCTGCGCTCCGATAGACGCCCCCTCACAATGTCATCATAGTCGTCTATATTTACTCCACAGTGACTCACTCTCCTCTCCATTAACCACCTACACTTTTAACCACACATGTCCTTATCCATACACATCCAGGCAGAGATGTGATTGACAGGTCTGATAACTGCAATTGTCTCTCTCTCATTGATTCAGCTTCACTCACAAACCAAATCCCATCTTCCCCTTTATCACTGTAAATGTAATGGGGGTGGAGATTCAGGTTTTGTATTAGATGCCAAACGGGACATCTTCAGCTGAGTCTCGTTCGGTTTGGGTTATGTCTTGGTGCTTGACATCAACGCTAATTCATGCATCTGTCGATCTCTCATCACCCTCCTGTTGTCATTCTTGAATTATTCATGTGACCCTCTGAACAGAGCTCCAGGCCCTGGCGGAGCTAATCGGGCCATATGGCCTGAAGTTCATCAGTGAGAACCTGATGTGGCACATCATCTCTCAAGTCAGCGAGCTGAAGGTACAGTATGTAGATGTAATAATGAGTTATCTGCTAAAATATGATGAATTAATAAATTAACCTGCCTGAATCTGCGGAATATGGACAAAAATAATCTCTTCACAAAAGTGATGATGCCCCGACATGATGGTATTTAGAGCATCTTGAAGAAAACTGCCTGTTGCTAATTTGTTTAATAAAAATTGCAAAAAGTTGTTAACAATATAATATTTAAAAAAAATATGATTTCAAGCAAGTTTAATCACATGAATTAATCTCATGGTAATGCATCCTATTTATAAAGCGCTTCGACCACACAAAGCAATATATGCTACATGTTGCATTCTCCCATTCACGCACACATTCATACAGTGCTTCTCTACACTGTCAGCACTGGCAAGTTGGGATTAAATATCTCGCCCAACGACACTTTGTAACCACTCTTATTTTACATTTCTTTACACATCATACATTTACATGGAATAGTAAAATCACAGGGGTACATCATATAACTTTTTCTGTATTGAAGAGAGACAATTGTCACGTAGAAGAAATCACTTTGTACTGCTGCACTGCGTCACGCTCCCCCACCTTGACACCTATGATTGAAGTGAGGAGATGCAACTGCTGCAGCTCTGAACCCTCCGACAGATCTGTCACAGCTATGACCTCTCTGCATTAAACTCCCACCTGAAGGAGATTTTTATCGCTTATCTCACTTCTTTTTTCCCCCTCATGTCAGAAACTTGTGATTGAGAACATGGACACCCTGGTACAGATGCGAAGCAACTTTGATAAGCCAGAGGAAATGGCCAATCTCAGAAAGAGGCTGACAGGTGAGAAGTGGAGAGATAAAGAGGAGAAAGATGTGAAGGAGGAGGTTGAGGGTTGAAAGAAAAGGAATTGAGATGTGAGACTGCATAAAGAGGACAAAGTGGAGGAGAAGGAATGTGATGACAGAGAGAAGGGGGAAAACAACAAGAGGTGAAGGCGGAGTATAGATGAATCACTCTGAGCAGGAGCCATTATCACTTCTATGCTTAATGGCAAACAATTATTTGGCTTGTATGAGCAGAAAAGCAGGAGCCTGTTCATAGACATCACCTCTATTTAGGCTAACCTTGTAATTCTCTAACAAAAGGATCTTTAACAAATAAGAAATCATTTGTTAAGTCTGAGCACAAACATACAAACCAACCAACAAAGAAATCGGCAGGGGTGAAAACATACTAGAGACAGATTCCATTCAACTCATAGGGTGAGCACGCTGGAAGTGTCTTTATTCCTTTTTTATTTTTATTAAACGACTCAAAACTGTTTGGCAGGATGCTGCTGTATGCCAGGTCTGAAATATGTGTTAATGATTCGATTAAAAAAACAGATATGATTAGAACATTTGAGAGTACTCCAGTGGAAGGATCTATTTCTCCTCCCTCTAAGGCTGTAATCAACAAATTATTTCAATAATATATTTACAAAGTTTCAAAAAAATGTAATGCTGGTTCACAATCTTAATACTTGACCTTTCCCAGGATGGCACTCTTGTTTTATTAAAGCCCAAAGTATCACAAGTTATTTGAATATAAATTATCAGAGGAGCTGTCTAACGCTAGAGACTTATTCACCCTGTGTTGCTTTAGAGGGCACACAGCCTTATGAGAGCAGCGGTGGATCCAGCGTGTGTGTGTAAGTGTGTAATAAACACTTTATTATTATTACTGATCTCTGATCTGTTTCATATGCACTTGTAGGTGGAGAGAACGTGCTGAAGAGGATGACGATCATCGGGGTGATTCTGTCCTTCAAATCGATGGCACAAAACTGTCTGAAAGATGTAATGCACAATTTTATCTTATGATAATGTGACAATGTTGGATAGATGATGAGACTGTTTATAAGTTATTGTCGATGTAACAGATAAGGGAATGGGATATTCGCAAATTAGATGAAAATGATGTTGTGTATGTTATTATGTCAACTGAGCAAACTCTAAACTTTAATCTGTTGATGGAATGCCATAGCTGAAAGGCTCTTATCAAGCTTTGAGTGGATTTTAAGTTAATATTACTAATAGCTGCAAATTTAGTGAGAGATGTCATCATTTATATCCACGCACTTTTCTTCCCTGTCAAAACCTGGTGCCTACAGTACCCATAATGCATGTCAATCACAGTCGGCTGTCAGTTCAGGCCCAGCCAGCGCTGACTCAAGTGACATCAGTTTATTAGATTTCACATATCTCTGTCTGGAGCCACATAAACTCACAATGACAGTAATAGTACAACACTATTACAGTTGTACCCATGAAACCTGTAAGCATCGTTTGATTTTCAAAACTGGTGGCGGTCCCATTTAATACTTATTGTAGTTTCGTAATTCTATACATATGAATGATCAATATTTAAAACAACAGACATATATTTTTACTTTTTAGTCTTTTTTGTAGCATCTCAAAGTACTTCATATGTATAAATCAGAAAAAAATGAAACATCACAGGTGATTTATGGGTAAATGCTGTGCATGCTGTTATTATATAAAGCTGGAATAAATTGGCCATGACCTTGACTGTATATGTCAGGTTCTTTCCTGTAATATGTGTGTTATATTATCCTATTATCTAGATCCTAGAAAAGCACTGCCCGTACCTGATGGGACCCATCACGCACCTGAGAGACTTCAGCCCCCCTGAAGCCGACAAAAAGGTAAAACACAGCTTGTGGCTTCTATGTGGTCAGCTCCCACAGCTTGAATCATCCCGTCACTGTTTATCAACAGTATATTAACAGTTTATTTTCAGAGGGCAAACACAATGTGGGAGAATTTTGAATTTAAACCATTCTGTTGTAGTGATATTCATCCTAATGTATATTTACATGTGAGACCTTGGGGAGCCGAGTCAGAGGTTAAGAACACAGGCCATGTGCTCTATATGCTGTTGCTCAATGTGTAGTTGGATGTCAGTGGTCTGAATAATAGACAGTGAGTAACAGTAGATGTGTCCCAAAGACATGCAGGGAACCAATTTTTTTTATTTTTCAGTACCAACCAAATTAAATTCCTTATCTCCCTCTGGAGAAATCTGTGCGGCTGTGGCTCGTGAACTCCCGCTCCCTTTACTTACGTCTGGCCTCTGAGTGAGGAATGACAGTCGTGCCACAGCCGGGGCCAGGATAACCCCAAAGACGTCAGCAGCCCCCTCTTGCCTCCGTGAGAGCGACTGTGATCGCTGCTGCAGCGCTGCACTCTAAACCACATCAGTGGAAACATTTTGCCCAGACAGGCCAACCATCCGTGCAACCACAAATAGGGCAAGATCAAAAACCTGTGTCAAGAAAAAGACCCTTGCTACTGATGCAGTGTTCCTCATAGAAATAACTGTACAACACTTTCATTCTGTGCTGGAAGATGCACAGCACACATTAGAGCTGCATTGGCTGTGGTTCTGTGGTGAAACAAATGGGCAATAAAATACGACAAAATGATGAACATTTAAATGGTGCATTAACTTTAGCACCATGAACATCAGGTCATTGGAATCTCATGTAGTTCAGCTGAACATTGTTCAAACTATACACAACTTTCCTTTAATTCAAAAATGCTAAATCCTTATGTGTTTAAAGAAACCACATATGTAAGGTTATATTTTTGGGAAATGTTTATAATTTCAGGTAATGAGTACAAATTTTTTTTTTGTATTTCCATTTCATGCCATTTCCTTTTGTTGAATTCTTTGCGAAATTACAGACAGATAGATTGCACATTTTACTCCACAGCATTTAATCTTCACCAATAGCTACTATATCCCAAAAAATGTGACATGTGTCATTTGAAATACTACTGTACTGCCTCAACTCAACCAGTGACAACACAAGATACCTAACATGCTTATATTAATGCAACAAGAGTTATATTTACTATTACTTATGTTTTATGTACTTGTAGTACTTGTTTACTAATGTCACATTCTGTATGTTACAAAAAGTAACATACAGAAAGTTACACATTGCCTCACAACTGATAATATGTCAGATAAAAACATTTTAACATTTAAGAAATAATATAAAACAACTCTTCATTGAGTTGTCTAAAAACAACTAGACCCATGTTATACATTTTGTTGACTTATGCACCAATAATGTTCAAACCCAGAGACATCCACAATCAAGGCCACGTTTTCATTGGATCACATCCACTTTACCTTTGTCCGTCTCTGCTATAACCACATATGATGAAGGAAGCTAGCCAGTTAGCCAGTAGGCTACCTTGTACTGGTCAGGTAGATTTCCACTGGCAATGGTGGTGAAGACAACAACTCCCATGATCCCACACTGCTTCATGATGTCATTAATCCAGGTCTTTTGTTATTATTTTTAACTGACAGACCCCAATAGGTTTTAATTAGAATGGGGTCTTTGGGTTTTGTTTCAGTGAAGACATGAAACTGATACAGTAAAGAACATGTAAAATAGTGTAAAACAAGAAACCTTTTACAAACGTAAAGCTACTGCATGTGAAGGAGATTAAATTATACTTTGTGTCAGTGTTATGCCTCTTTGCTTAAATGCTTTATGACCTTACAGGAGACGCTGAGTATATTTGAGTTGGCGTCCGCCGCAGGGTTGACATGCAACATCGATCCTGCCCTTGTTGCAGCGATCAGCAGTATGCACACAGGTAACACTCAAGCTATTAGTGCCATTCCTGCAGACAGCATGATGGTGCTCCAGCAGCTGAGTCATCAGGAAGTGAGAGTGTTGTGTCATCTTTTAATGTCGTACCTGCAGAAAACACATCCATCGATGAAGAGTACAAGCTGTCCTGTTTGCTGCTGGTCTATGTCGCCGTGTCCCTGCCGACTCTGGCCCTGGACAACAACTCGTCCTACAGCAGAGAGCATGGAGGTTCATATTCATTCATTCATTTTCATCTGCTCCAACTTGCTTGACAGTGATTAGTCTCCAGACAACCCTCAACCAATTACCAATCACTTCTCCTTCCAGCTGCTGATAGAGGATAAAAAACATACTCCACCCTGAAACACTATTAGCATCTCTGTGCATCATACTTTCCAGTCTGACTGACGTGGTCTGAAGCAGAAGTATGTTGGTTAATGTGAAACACGTTTTTGTTGGGAGACTTTTGTTTACAGATAACTTTGGCTGACGTGCATCGATACGGTTACTCTTGGCATGTGGCCGTGCTGACCCTGACCAACTGGCTCAGAGCCTGGACTGCAACATTAAGAGCAGCAAATAGCCGAGATTTCTATCAAGGCACAGGGTGGCGTTTGTCTCGGATTGCTTTCTTTGTCTCCATTTTCCACTGCCATGTCTGAAACACTGTGAGCCTGAGGAAATCTGCTCAGAACACTTCCCCTTATGAGTCACGACTCATTAAGTTAATTTCTCTAATCGTCCGACTACAAAAACATCCTCTGTGAGGCTAAAGTTACAGGACACATTGTTTCATTCTCTCTATTTCTAATGAATTTTGTATTCTTATCTTCTCAGGCCACAACAACAACATCCACTGTTTGGCTACAGCCATCAACCAGCTGGCTGTCGCCATGTTCACCATTCAGAACAAGAACATAGAGCATCACCTCAAAGAGTTTCTTCTGGTGAGTGGCAGATATTTTATTACCTTTCCTACCATTTCAAGTCAAAAATATCAATTCTGGCTTAACAAATGCGTTAATCAATACAATGATTCCCAACAACTCGATCTAGATCTGTGATCTCTGTAATTGTTGAGAGTCTAAGAGGAGAAATTGCCAATTGATTTAAAAGCTCATAGATCTGCACCCTGTAATGAACGGGGCATAAGTTGAGCCCCACTGATATGGATGTTTTGGGGGCCAATTTTGGGCAGACACGAATATTCGGGAGTAAAAACGACGACGTAAATTGATGTAACCTAAACTTTATTATAAATGCTCTCTTCTGCATTGTTCATTCTGTAAAATGTCTGTGAAAGGCTCATGATTGATTTATTGCCCGACCAATAACAGCCTCCAGTCTAAAGTAAATATTAACTCACACAAGCAAAAACTATTTGGGAGCACTGAATCCATGATTTTCGTAATGACTGCATTATACAAATGATTCCATTAAAGACAATAAATATCAACATAAGATGAGGACTCAATGTTTTCTTGGACCCCTTTCGCCCGAGTCAAGGTCCAGCGCTGTAAAAACGTTGTAGTTGTTTGATCCGTCTCTTTTTTAAAAACTCTGCAGATCGCCTCCTCAACTCTACTCCAGCTGGGACAAAATGTAGAGAGAGTCGAGGTGAAAAACCGAGAATCAGTCTACCTGCTCCTGCACATGGTAGGTCTGCCAGTAATCAAATTCACTATAAGGCACGAGTGGGTTTATAATTTGACGAATGGAAACAATCTATGGTTCATTAATTGAAGCTATTCTCTATACAATAAGCCATCGGAGCCTGCAGCGGCTTCTCTAACGGCTTATTTCTTATCTGTAAGGCAATAATAAATGAATGATTAACAACAAAGTCATTTATGGGAACTTATAAACCCTTTATATTAAGTATGCATATTTTAAAGTGCGAGTGAGGATTAAAGTTGATGGAGAGGAGCTTTTCATGTCCAAACTACAGATGAGCTTCTATTCAGTCATAATTAAAGGACATATATTTATTTGTCTTTAGTCTTCTCAAATCCTGCTGCTCATGTTCTTTAGAAAAAACTTCTTTACAAATATGAAAAACAACATTGTAGGGACTTTTAACAGATAAAGATCATCAGTAACTTGTGTTGCCTTGAGTCATAACAATTTCCAAAACTGGTTCATTTAGATTGTGGAGGAGTCTTCGTTCCTGACTCAAGACATGTTGGAGAGCTGCTTCCCGTATGTTCTGCTTCGGAACGCCTACAGAGAGGTCTACAGGTCCTTCATCATCACTCTCGGCTGAAGACTTTGCTTTATCTTTCCACCCGAGTACTTTAATGTGCATACGTGTTTTGTTTTCTCTACTGTTCAGCATCTGATTCACACGTCAGCATATTTGCTGTCTTGGTTATTTTGATCACAGTTTGTGCCGAACAGTTTCCTGTAAGGTCTGCTGTACAACCCATTTTGCGCACTACTTACGTGCTTTACTCTGCTGATCCACTAGTGTCGATTTAAAACCACTGTACTATAACTAATATCAGCTTGAATCATTCCAATCTGAATCAGGTATATTCTGCAATCCCTTTTATATTCTATGCATCAGCACGATATACACAATAAGTGCCACCACTTAAAGAAAACTTGTATTTTAAATATATTGAAAACATGTTTAATACAATTGTTATAGATTTTAATAGTTGATGTGTAATATTTTTGTTTAGAAATGTTCTCCAAATAAAGATGATAATTATTAGCTGTTCGTTATATGTAGTTTTTGCTCCTGATCTTCCAGTCTGCTCTGTTCTCCTTCCTGAGTCTTGTCCTCTTCATTTTTCATGTACAATTTAAATGATGATCTCCAGTTTTACAGATTCAGAAACACTTCTTGTTAAAATAAGAGTTGCCCTTGAGCAGCACTGTTCCTCTTCTCCTCCTCTTTTCGTCCTCTTTTTCCTCCTTACCGTCTCCTTCCCTCTCACCCCATTCTGGTTACCACACTGGAGACAACAGTGCCCACATGTTGTCTCCAGTGTGTGTGTGTTTGCACAGCTATCTTTGAGAGGACCAGTTTTAGCCTTTAACCTACGGAGTGAGGCCATTTTTGTCAAAGTGAGGACATTTTGGATTAGAATAGGGTTAGAATTCGGTTTAGGTTAGGCACTTAGTTTGGATGGTTAGGGTAAGGGGCTGGGGAATGCATTATGCCAATGAGTGTCCTCACTAAGATAGTTGTACAAATGTGTGTGTATGTGTGTGTGTGATGACCACGGCCTTCGCACAAGAGCTCAAGAGATCCAGTTCCCTCTTGGGCAACATTTGTGTGAACAGATGTACGCTGATGAATAAACAGACGACGGATCTAAAAGCAGCTCATTGTCCAGTAACGCACTTGATGCAAAATGAGTGAGTGTGTTTGTGTTGAAGGATTAAAGTCTCACCAACCAAAAAACAAGACACACATAAACAGATGCCATATTTCTAAATATATGACGATAATGATATCAATAAAGTGAAAAAAGAAAGACGCAGTTTGTCTAAAAACATATTTTTTCTGTCATTTAAAATGTCTATTACATGAGTAGATATCGATATTCCAGGACTCTTTCCTTTCGTTTCTTGAGGATTTTTCTTTTTCTGCTGTAGAAGAGGCTGTGTCCTCATCACATTGGATGACATTTTATTGTAAACCTCTCTCCCCATTCAGCATTTTAAGATGTACAACAACATTTAATTAACACCAATAACAAACTATAGTCTTGTTGTATGCCATGATTATTAATGTTTCCAACATGAGTCCTGAGTCCTCCTGCAGCGGCCGTGGGTTCAGCTCTGACCCGGCCCTTTGCTGCGTGTCTTCCCCTGTTCTCTCTCCCAAATTCATGCCTGCTATCAATAAAGGTAAAATGCCCAAACCTTTTAAAAAGAACGTTAGCTCTTCCTGTCATCTCTTATAAGTGCAGGCTTCATGATATGAACAGATAATAACACTATAGTAAAAAACAGCTGACTGTTTTGACTATTTTACCAGATGATCCCTTACACAGCTGGGTAATCTGGTCCATTGGTTCTCAGTGTAAATATCAGACCCTTTTTGAAAGAGTAAAAATGTAAACACTGTTGAATTCTACTACTTTACTTTACATTACATCTATGTGTCATACAGTGCATTATAAACTGTTTATATAATGTTTATAAATGTGGGCGTAGAGTGAAGTCATATAGATATTTTCTGTTATTTTGAGTACAACCGAAGCAATACATGAAATCATGTTATTACTAGTTTATTTATTAGAACTTATTATTGTAATCATAAGTGAGACTTTTGTTTTTTCATGCTTGTGAATGAACTATTCCCTCGCAGTTCCGCAGTGGATCCTGTCCTGAGACCCTGAGGACGGTTAATGGTGGAAACTCTGGTCCCGATATAAAGACTCCCCTGATTGTGATGGTGACGCACAGCCATTCTTGCTGAGTCGTGGAAGATTACACACACACACACACACATGCACAGAGGGGAGTGAGTGTTAACAGAGCAGCGTAGATTAACATAAACTACAGCATCCTTACACACACAAATGAAACAGAAGACAATCACAAGTTGGATTTATAGCAACACACAGAACTCATCCTGAGTCTCAACACACACATGTTCTGCAGCAGCGTTTGGAGCCAGAGGTCATGACTCAGACTTGTAAAATACACAAAGCAGCTGATAGAGATCTCCGTCTTGTGACATGGAGGACCACACGGGAAAGGTCAGATACTGCTTCCAATGTTTATTACAGACATGAATATTTACTTTGTCATTCTGCTGAGTGGACACTTTGCAGTTATTTTAACAGGTTGCTGCAGTGAGGTGTTATTGGATTTTCCTCTGTGTCTCTGCTAATTTATTAATATAGTTCCTATAATTTGATGATTCTTGTTAATGTCAGTACTTGTGCATTTGTGTTTGAGAATCATTTTGGTGTTTTAACTATAAGATAGGTAATTTTGCATCATGACAAATATTAATGGAGCATTTAACCTAAATCATCTAAAAATGCAGGCATGTGATGAACCGTGAACCATGAATGTCTGTACAAAATGTTGTGGCAATCCAAACAGTTGCAGTTGAGATATTTTCAGTCTTGACCAAAATGGAGATAGAGCAACATTGCCATCCCCTGAGGCTATTCTGACTAAAAGTACACTTTAACATGTCTTTAAAGAGCCTGCATCCTTGATACTATGAACAATTGACACAGCACACTGAATGTTAGTAGGTAGTTGCAGTTTTGAAGTAGAATGTCACTCAGCAGAGGGCATATCCGCAGCAAAGCCCAACAGTCCACTTAAATTCAATCGTCAGACACTCATAGATATCAGTCCTCTAAAAGTGACGGATCCACAAACTAATCTCTGAGAAATTGGCTAAAGTATCACAAAGAAAACCCCCCTATCATGCAAAGTTATAGAGAGTGATAATAAAATCCACTCGTTTGTCCAGATCCATGCCACAAATATATTGGGTTCTGCTTTGGCCCTTGAACCATTCTTACACCAAACTGGTGGAAATCCATTCAGTAACTTTTGTGTAATCCTGCAAACAAACAAACAAACAAATGGACGGGAGAAAACATAAGCTCCTTGGCAGAGGTAATGACCATGATGAGGTCTGTGGATTATTCTTGTCTGGAAAGAGAGATTGCCACAGAAATTTTAAATGTGTCTTTAACAGTGCTGAAAGCACCACAAAAAATTCCATCACAGGCATTATTTTCGGTTGGTTCAGAAAATATGCTGAAATAATCCGCCTGGCTGTATAACAAATGAGATACAGCTGAGTGAATAATAATAATGTGGATGAATTAGATTTAGATAGTTGTCTTGGTGTGAAGTTCATCCAGAGAAGCTTTATTAAGGTTTAATAAGGTTTGACCTCTGAGTTCTGTATCCAGTTAAAAACCCTTTGAGTTTTGGCAAAATAAACTCAATTCCACTGTTGTAAATTAAAAACAAAAACAAAGTGACCACTCTCTGTGCCCCTCAGCACCCTCAGTCTCTTGAACGTCTGATTCCCATGCAGAGGCACGTAACGTTTCACTGTGATTTATGATGCCACAAAGACAGATTTCTCTCTGAAGTTGTCGAGTCTGTGACTAATAATCGTCTCAGGTCCATCAGTGGACAGATCAGAGGGTGGATGTTCGTCATCGTCGCAGACTGAGAAGACGACGGACGAACGCAGGGAAAGACATAAAGCATTTCTAGAATATAAACAGAAACAAGTTACAAGGGAGGGGCATTGGTTTTTGAGTGACTGTGAGGGAAAGTGGTTGTATTCGTCTTATTATTTGATATTTCTAATTGACATAACAGTATGAGGGGGGGATGATCAACAGTGACACATGAGATGGAGAATCAGATGTTATGTTACTTCTCTTCATTTTTTGGTATAATATGTTGTGTCATGTCAAAGAGCATGGGAGCATGAGAGTCAGTCTGACCCAGCAGCCAAAGCAGGACACGCAGGGAGGATGACAGCAGGCAGGGGTTTTCCCAAGCCACGCTGGAGCACAGCTCTCTCAGTGCTGACAGATTTAGGATCTGCAACTGAAACGTGTTTAGGGACAACTTAGATATCTGATCTTTAGGCGTGTGTCTTCGGCAATTGCTAAACTCTTTACTGCTCACAAAACACAGAATTCATATATTTACTGGTGAGACACGTCGTGATCTTAAAGGTTTGTGGTGTGTGGATTTTAGATACATCTAGTGGTGAATGCATGTTGCAGCTGAACACCCCTCACCTCCTCCTCCCCTTCCAAACATGAGAGAGAACCTGTGGTAGCCTTCTGTTGTCTTAATAACTCAAAAGGTGTTTAGTTTGTCCAGTTTGGGCCACTGTAAAAAACTTGGTGGCCTCCAAAGAGAGGACCCGCCTCCCGCTGTAAATATAAAGTATTAGAAATACTATAGAAAATAGAAATTACCCATTCTGGGATAAAGAAAACAACAATTTGTACAATTTAGATAAAACACACCAGTGAAAACATCGCTAGGATTGTTTTATACTGAACATCTGCCAAAAGATCCACTTCACCTAAATCTTACACACTGAACCTTCAACTGATTTGAGCCTGTGTGCTTTTGATAGAAGCTGCCAACGCTGAATGTGACACTGAGGTTTTAGCAGTTTGTTAGGGATACAAAAAGGCACCATGCATGATAAAAGCAGTCAATAATGTATGAAATGTGAGGCTGCCCTCCCACTGTGCATTATATTTTCTATGCACAAGCGGCGGTGAAACTATCAGCCTGTTGTGGGTTGCTTTTGAGGACAAGACTTGTTTATGTTTTTTGGTTAAGGGGTGACTCTGGTGGGTTTCTCTCAAAGACTCCCTCTGTCCCTGATTTGCGGCTGTGGTGGAAAATTCTCATTTGGGATTTGAGCACACACACACACACACAGCTTGAAAGCCTTGCAGTCAACACTTCATCAGCGAGTCAGGTCAAGTAACTCACTTCACACAACGGGTGTGCGCATATACACAAGCACTCACTCACTCACTGACAAAGACACACACACACACACACACACACACACACANCACACACACACACACACACACACACACACACACACAAGGCACTCTCTCTCACTCTCTCTCTCACACACACAAACACACACACACAGTTTGGGCCTGCCTAACCAATCAGAGTGAACTGCACTAGGTCCCCAGAAGTGGGTGGGAGAGCTGTTGAAACAGAAGTCTGTCTCAGGACGAACAAAGTTTGCTTTGGTGGTTTGGAGAACTTTTCTGCTCACTTCTTCTCTGCAAAAAAAAAAAAATCTTTTTTCATCCACCTATTTTCTTTTTTAATGAACTCTGGGGTCCATTAGAGCACTGCTTGAGTGTGGAATGGCTGAACTGGTGCGAATCCGTAAGAAACGACTGCAGATCCCCATCTCTAGGTAAGACGGGGTAAAGATTATATCATAATCCGTTCTGTGCATGTTCAGCCTCTGTGACTGTGACTGTGTAAATAAGGCTGAAAGTCTTTACCTGACATGCTCCATCTTTACAATGATACTGTTTGGTGCAGTCAGGCTGTCTGGATCATATCTTGATGTAGTTTTGTAACAATGGAGATATATGACTCAAATAGAAACCACACACGAACACTAGGGAGTGATGATGCAGTGGATTCTTTGGCATATTTCATATCTGCATACCTTCACGCACTGCAATCAAAAAACTTGAGAAGCTTATTCTCACCTTCGAAAGTATCCTTCCCCTTGCTCTTGAATATTTATAGAACTCATGAAGAGTGTAGCAGCATGAGAAACACACACTTGTTGCTCCAGGTTGTTGCAAGTACTCTCAACTTTACTCATGCTTTTGCAGTAGGAGGGAAATGTGGTGAAGATGTGATGTGGTTTTGTTTTGGTTAACACCTGAATGTGTCAGTTTGCAGAGCTCAGAATCTTTGTTGGGGGGGTTATTTTTTTGACTTTCGTGTTAGTCATTAATTACAGGTGAGATTTTAAAGTACATGTTGGTGTAGATCTATGAATTCATTTCCGTCTTGTTTGTGCAGGACCAGCTTTAAAAGAGACTAAAGATCTGAGCTGACAGGCTGATACCATTGAGTCTTCCACTTTACTGCTCTGATCCACACTTTGTTATGATGACACTGCGCAGTGTAGAGATTCTACACTGAACAACGTCTGCGCCAAAGGGAAATGTGTCATTTGTCTTTATAAACAAAGTTTCTCAAGTGCACTTGACAAGAAATTTCCTGTAAACGTCCTGTCAGAGGCTCTTCTGCTGCGAACAGTTGAAAGAAAAAAAAGACTGTGCTATCACAAAAGATTAGTTGAGATTGAAAGTGAGCGGTGGTATTTAGTCGCATGCTATTTTTATGACTCAACAGCTTTTGAAAGCCCTTGCCAGCGTGATAAACACTTTGAAAGCTGTGAGCGCCTCGTCCCTGGGAGTTGGCTCCGCAGCTAGCCTGGCGCAGTTTGAGCACAATCATTCTGGTCGCGGCACCGTGCAGGCGGGTGGCCCCACCACCACGTTTCGGAGGAATTATCTGTGGCGCAAATTAGCTATCATAGCAAATATACCTCTTTTTCAAACAGCCAGGGAGAAAATAAAATCCTGTCAAAGTAGAAAGACTCAAGGGTGAGATATTTTATCAGACACTGTAAAGAAGCTTTTGGAATAAATACTGAGATGAGATTAAAACACTGCAGGGGGGAATGTTGAAGATAATCTCGGTGTTGGAGTCTATGGGCTATCTTCTGTGGGCAAATTAGACTCTTGGGACAATGGCGGTTCCGGTGTAGACAGCAGATATCTGTTCCAAGACTCCATCTTGTGTTTACCAAACGTTGTTTACAGCCTGAATAGTTTATTCGTAAGTTTATTATAAATTGAATGTTTCTCCTCACAAAACACAAACAATGATACTTTGTGTAAGTGTTTTAGGTCCAGATGACCTTTTGGCTAATTTCTATGAACAGCTATCTGCACAGGAATATAGATACATTAAAAAGCCAGCAGCTGATGCATTTCAGTCATTGCGCTCCACCTCTGCTTTTAACACATAGACCATCATGGGCAACCAAAGCCTGCTTGAACATGATTGGTCAAACTAGGTAGAAACACAATTCAGAAGGTTTTCCCTTGTATGTTCAGACAATCTGTTGATAGAGATTCTATTGCAGGTGACTCCAAGCATTTGCTTTTTAAAATACAGCGGATTTATGCATTTTTCTTGTGTAAAATCTTCAGAACCAAGAATGAGATCAGAATGTGGCGCAGAAAATGCAAAAACATAACTGCACGAAGCCCACTTTGACAACATTGGGTTACATAAGTCTCTGACCATGGGAAGTTTTCCTCTCATGGAAAATGTGGCAGTAATGGTGCCCTTTTGCCACTGGCGTTCTTTGGACAGCTTGGCATTTAAATCGCATCCAAATGAACTCTTTCATGAGGAAATTCTCTCAACCTGTTGCTGAATCACTTCTCGACTTCATTTCACTCTCTGCAGGCAGTGACAAGTGCTGACAATTCACAGAGGGCTTTGGTTAGAAGGCTTCTATCACACAAAGCCACTGTGTGGCTCAAAATGACCGACTGTAACCACCAGCCATTTTACACACTGTTGCCTCTGGGTGATTCAGGTATCAAGAGATGAAACAGCTTCCCAGTACATTTTGTGTTGTTTTGATCACATCCGATCTGATTTTGTTTCCTTTCAGGCTGCGGAGCATGCTAAAGCAGCTGGAGGAGAAAGATGTCGACTTTGAAGAAATCAAAAGGAATCTGGATTTCACAGCATCGTTACTAGAGGCAGTTTACCTGGATGGAACAAGGTTTTTCTTTCATTTTATCTTTATTTAGGTATCGTCTCATCTAGATTAAGATTAAAATATGTAGAGTGGGAAAATAAAACTGTTTTTTTGAAATTTTAAGCATCTGCAGGTATTCAGGATTTTGCTTCTCCCAGTTAGAGAGTTAATAAACATGTTTATAGATGAACTGCTATTGCAATGGCTAATTTTCTCAGTAATGAGAAAGAACACTTTCCACACTTTCCCTTTGTGAACAAGTTCCTGAGTGTGTTCACACGCATGTGCGTCCCTAAAATAACAGTAAAATACTGCACTGACTTCAGACCATTGCACAATTACTCAGTGATGCCTCACGTTAGCAATGCACCAAAACGCACCTGACAACATTTAATTTTATGACACGTCCATGGGTGCTCAGATGGGTCAGTCTGCTCTTTATACAAAATGGGCACTAGACAGTAAAATGACAACTGCGTCCGTCTGAAAGTCACTTGGTGTCAATAAACATATTTATGATAATGTTGAACTCTTCCTTTAAAGGTCCCATATTTTGCACTTTCCAGATTTTTTACATTTTTACATTAATAAGAGGATGCCATTGTGATGATATAACCTAAAAACATCTCATCACATCTTTCTTCAGGAACTCTGGCAACAAAAAAGAGGATCTGAGTTTCTTGAATGATTGGCTGCTTTCTAAATAAGGCATGATCAGGCCTATCAGACTGCAGCCTACTACTGTAGCTTAGTGAATGCAGTCAGCACTGAAATGTGCCAAACAGATGCTCAAATTCAAACTAAAACGCACCAGCTGTACTTGGTGTGAAGCCTGGTTCTGATGCAAGCGGCTTCATGATCTGTGGCGGTGGCTGTCCACAGTTTTTCAGCTTCTGTATCCAGTGCAGGAGTGGCAGACTCCGTTGCTCCTGCCAACAGCTCCCTCTCTTCAGCTGCTAGAGCCTCAGGTTGGTGGCATGTCAAAGTCGGTTCAGCCCAGTCGTATCCCAACCCAAACCGCTGATTGTGGGTGCAAAGCAAACACAATTGGGAAAACAAATGTCTACTGGGGAAACAGAATTTGATGTAACACTGGGACATTGCCAGCATGCTCTGAGGCCTGTCGGTGACGTGTGCGAGGCTGCAGAATCTGACACAACAGAGGGATCAGGGAGGTGTGTGAGTGGGCAGCTGCTACAGACAGAGTGGAACATGACGAGTGGATTACCAGGAGAATCAGGAGGAGCAGTCCACCTTCCTGTTGCTGCCGGACTGTCTGGAATTTTCAACGGGATTGATTGGGTGCATGGACGGAACAAGTACCAGCAGCAAGGTGACAAGAGCATATATGAGGAGATTATGGAAATACACTTAGTCTGGGCAACAGGTATGGGGACTCAAGCAGCTCATCCTTTTTTGGAGCTCAGACTCCAGGAAATTGATATCATCCCTTAACTTTGTGGGAACGCACACACACAGAGAAAGAGAGACTAATAGTAAGAGAGCAAAGGCTGAACAGACAAGAAACCTTTGGAAGTAAGTATTTTTCAATAGCCTCTGGACCTGCTTTAATATTTTAAAAAAATATGGGACCATTAAAGATTTCAGTTTTCTCAGCTTTTTGCTCTGTTGAATAACTTATAACAGAGATCTGCAGAGTTCCTCCCCCTGTATATTTGAGTCTAAAAACTTGAGTCATCGACTTCGTCTCCAAACCATGTGTCTAACCATCAGTGTTTATGTCTACGTGCGTGTGTTGTCCCTTTCAGGCAGTGTCTGGAGTCTGAGGACGATCTTCAGCAGCTGCAGTCGGACGGCGTGCCTTCAGAGGTCACCGACTGGCTGGCGTCCACTTTCACGCAGAGGGTCCGACGGCCCGTGCGCCGCTCGGATGAGAAGCCCAAGTTCCGCAGCATTGTCCACGCGGTGCAGGCTGGGATATTTGTGGAGAGGTACACAGCAACAACACATTTTCTTTTTATGTAATAGCTCAGGATCCAGTTTAGTTCTGTCAGGATGTTTATTACTTTGCATGAACAAGGCAGCTTCTGTAGAAAAGATACAGAAGCAGTCATACGGCTCTATGTTTTCTTTATGACACCTAATTGAAATAATATAACAAAACTTTCATCATACCATAAAACTCCCAGTGTAAATGACTAATGTGCTGAAACTTTAATTTAAGCTCACGCTGCACGACACTGTTAAACATTAACCTCCTTCTCTTTTGAAAACATCCTTCCAAAGGAGATAGGGACTCTGGAGGATTTATATAAACAGCTCCTGAGTCAAGTTCACTGCACAGTGTCGACACCTGAACTTTAACTGAACTCAACATAAACCTTGCATTATTCCAGGATGTTCAAGAGGGCCTACACGGCAGCCATGCCCGACCAACCAGCGGCGGTCGTAAACTGCCTCAGGGTAAGCTCCACCTGTAAACATAAATCTCCCAGTGAGTCGTGTGTTTATGCAATAAATCGGACATTAGTAAAGATGTAGTACACACAGCACAAGTATGCATTAATAACGCACTCACTTTCCTCTCGATTCTCCCAGGATGTTGACCGCTGGAGCTTTGACGTGTTCGCGCTGAATTCTGCGAGCTCTGATCACGCACTACAAACTCTTTTCTTTGAGCTGATCACCAGATATGAGCTCAACAGCCGCTTTAAGGTCTTTTAATTTCAGATTTCATAACATATTTTACTAAGCACACATTCCATGCACGTTATCACAGATATGCAAGAATGCCAGTAATCATCGCTACTCTGGTGGGTTGTACTTTGTTGATATAATTTGGGTTTTATCATCAGTTTGTTTTATTGTCAGACCATGACTGACTACTTGACCCAACTGTAGCTGTGATGATGTCGGGCATTTTGCAGATCCCCATCTCGTGTCTGACGCAGTTTCTGTCTGCGCTGGAGAGAGGATACTGCAGATTCAACAACCCCTACCACAGCCACGTACACGCTGCTGACGTGACTCAAACCCTGCACTGCCTGCTGCTGCGCTCTGGACTCGTGGTACACTGCACTCATCCGAACACTTATCATTGGTCACACGAGGATAAGTGTCAACAAACCCAATGGAAACCAAAAAATAAAACATATTTAGTTTCCTAGTCCTTTTAATCCTTGTGATATTAAATCTAATAATAATAATATTGGTCACAAATATTTAAGCTTTCTCTCTTAGTACATATCAGGTACTAAGGAATAGACT